AAAATATGAGCCCAACAAGTACTGCCTCCAAGACCTAAGGCAGTGAACGACTGCTAGCATTTCTTTCTCTGATACGGTATAACGTCGTTCCGCATTATTCAGCTTGCGACTTTCGTAAGCRATCGGGTGAYCGTCTTGGAGAAGGACACCACCTAAAGCGTAGTCTGAAGCATCCGTTTCTACTTCAAACGGCTTCGTCACGTCGGCTAGCCCAAGTACTGGGCCTTTCATCATGGCCGCCTTTAGATCTTCGAAGGCGTCCTGACTTTCCTTCGACCACATYCAGGTCATTYCTTTCTWSAGTAACTCTGTCATTGGGGTGGCTCTCCTTGAGAATCCTTCGATAAATCGTCGGTAGTAGTTGGCCAACCCTAAAAAGGAGCGCAACTCGGTCACAGAGGTAGGGACTCTCCATTCTTGGATCGTCTTTACCTTATCTGTGTCCATACTGATTTGCCCTTGTTCGATCACGTGGCCAAGGAACGTGATCCGCTTTTGTGCGAATGCACACTTTTCCTTCTTTACGTATAGCTGATTCTGCCTTAGTTTGTCGAAGACCAACCTGAGATGGATCTGGTGTTCTTTCAGCGTCGGACTGTATACCACTATATCGTCTAGATAGACTACCACAAACTGATCGAGATATTCGTGAAAGACCTGATTCATCATAGTACAGAACGTGGCAGGGGCATTCGTTAATCCAAAAGGCATCACGAGGAATTCAAAAGCCCCATACCTCGTCACACAAGTAGTTTTAGGCTCGTCACCTTCTGCAATACGCACTTGGTAGTAGCCCGACCTGAGATCCAATTTCGTGAAGTATTTAGCTCCATGTAATTGATCAAACAGGTCGGTTATGATTGGGAGGGGATACTTGTTGCGAACCGTGACTTTGTTGAGGGCTCTATAGTCAATGCACAGACGCAACGTCCCATCCTTCTTTTTCTGAAACAGCACAGAGGCTCCGAAGGGAGCTTTAGCTGGGCGGATGAACCCAGTGTTGAACAACTCATCTAGCTGCTTTCGGAGTTCGGCTAACTTCGGTGGAGCCATCCGGTAAGCATTCTTTGCTGGAGGTTTAGCGCCTGGAATGAGCTCGATTTCGTGGTCAATCCCTCGTCGAGGAGGTAAGGTCTTCGGTAAACTATCTGGCATTATGTCAACATACTCTCTCATGACAACTTGAATTTCAGGCGGGACATCTCTTGTCTCCACCGGCTGCATAAAGGTAGGTTCCTCCCGGTTGAGGCCTTTCTTCAACTGTAACGCGGATATCATCCTTATGCCACCAGGTTGTTTGATGCTAGCTGTGACCACAGTGGGACTATTACTAGTGACAATCATACACTTGGCCAGAGGCATCGGTATGACTTTATGTTCGATGAGGAAYTCCATCCCCAGTACAACGTCGAAGTCGTCCATGCGAACTACTACGAAATCGAYACTGCCTGTCCACGTCCCTAATTTCAACGTCACTCTTTTAGAAACTCCCACAATGGGTAAAGCTTCGGAGTTGACGGCCTTCATCTTACCCGTATCCTTCTCAATAGTCAATTTCAGTCGGYGGGCTTCCTGTTCTGATATGAAGTTGTGGGTTGCACCCGAATCCACCATGRTGCTCTTTGCAGGGTTACAATTGATCGYAGCATCTACGAACATAAGCCCCTTTTCGGACGTTCCTTTGGGTCCATTGACCCTCTTTTGAATGGCAGATAGGAATTTTAACGCCCCCATTCTAGGTGTTTCTTCGTCTTCTTCCTTCTCACAATCTGTTCCAACTTCAGGTTCATTGCACGACTGAACAGATGCTTGAAGGGCAGTAAGGGCAGCTCGGTGTGGGCATTCAGCTACCTGGTGGGGACCTCTGCACAAGAAGCATGATTTCGGCCTTTGAGCGTTTTGACTTTGTGGATAGGGTCCTCGGGAAGGACCGGGATTCGGGCCTAGAGGTCTCTTGTCAGCTCCCCCAATCTTTGGGGTAAAGGGTTTGAACGTCTTGTTTCCCCCAGTGGGGTTTGTAGCATTCTTTTTTGGGTGGGATGGTTCACTGCTATAGTCTAGCAATCTTTCGGCAGAGGCCATGGCGGTGGCAAGGTCTTGTACCCTTTGTTCATACAGCTTGGTTCGGGCCCACAGTTTCAGTCCTTCGATAAAGACGAACACCTTGTCTTTCTCTGACATGTCGCGAATATCCAGCATCACGGCAGAGAATTGTTTCACGTAGTCCCGGATTGTTCCAGTGTGTCGGAGTTCGCGTAGCTTCCTTCTAGCCATGAACTCGACATTGTCGAGGAAGAACTGACCCCTCAATTCTTTCTTCAGATCATCCCAGCTATTGATCGTGCATCGACCATTCTGAATGTCGTTGACTTTAGATCTCCACCACAGCTTTGCATCATCAGTAAGATGCATGGTGGCCAAAGTCACTTTCATCTYTTCTGACRTTGTCCCYGTARCCTTGAAGTACTGTTCTACGTCGAACAKGAAGTTCTCGAGATCTTTKRCKTCTCTATTGCCATTGAATGGTTTGGGCTCTGGGACCTTCAACTTGTTGAACCCCATGTTCRCTTGGTTGGGAGCCTGATTTCCCACGGCTCGCATKGTTAGGTTCACTCTAGTGCTTATTTCAGTCATCTCAGCTCGGAGGGTGTCGATGGTTACTTTGAAGTCTTCTGTCATTTCGTTAAACAATTGCATCATTGTCGAATGCGAGTTGTTTAACTCTCCCATACGTACTTCTATCTGTGTGTTTGGGTTCGTGGAACTATCTCCACGTTCGAAGCTACCAGGACGCGTAGCTTTGCTTTCTASGGTCTCAACCCTCATGGCTATATCTTGTATTGGCAACCCGTCTACACGGGCATTCACTGCGTCTATTTCTCCAAACTTCTCGGAGAATTCATCAACTCGCGCCTCCAGCAGACGGAGGGAATCCGGGACTTCTCTTAGGTAGAGAAGTTGTTCTTCTATCTCTACCAGTCGGTCGACGTGCGACTTGCTCAGTTGTTTTGTCGCCGACATGGTTCCGGACTTTTTCGGGTCGAGGAGCTAACCTGGCTCTGATAAAACTTGTCACAATCGCACCTTTTTAAAGCAGCTCGAGCGATTGTGCGACACTTGCTCCAGCTCAAACGAGCAAGTCAGCCGGGAAAAACTGTAAGTTGCGGACAATCTCGGTCGTGGGTCTAGCCTCCGCTCACGTTTTAGGAGAAAATTGGTTTTAGAAAACGTGAGAGAGAAAA